GGGGCACTGAGCCCTGCCACTCCCCATTCCCCTCCACCCCCAGCTGGGGGAAGGGCAGTGTAGTCAAGTGCTGGTCTGGAGGCCTTTGCCATGTCACTACCATGGAGGCAGGGGATGGAGTCCAGGCAGGATGGTAGGGTACCGAGCCAAATGGGCCCCCAAGAACAGGAACCTGGTAAATACTAGGGATGTAAGCAAGCAGTCAATTACTCACTCCCTCTCCCTCCGCTCTCCATTGCTGCCTCTGTATCAAATGCAGTGGGGCATGAGAGGAGAGAGTAGGGGAGGCTCCTGCAAAGCAGCCTCTGCCCGTGGCGGCCCAAGCTGTCTGCAGGCAGAGACTGCTCTGGTAGCATCCTCTGTTCACAGCACCTGTGCTGGCCATCTCCGGCAGCTGGGGCTGGCCATGGACAGAGGCTGCTGGACCCGGCACGTGCCGGCTCAGTCCTGGCTTGTGCTGGTCCAGGACTGCTGCAGCTCTGCATTTTACATATAGTAAGAGTCGGGCTGCCTGCATGCCCAGCTCCTGCTACATTTAAACTGCAGAGCCGCAGCATGGGTAGCTCCTGGAGCAGTGCAAGTCAGGACAGAGCACCGTCCCTTATCGACTAATCGTGTAGTGGATACAAATAGTATCTTAACTGTGTTAGTAAATACCCCACCTCATTCCCCTCCTTCTCCCTCCTTCCCAGAACCCACTTTAGCATCCTTCATGGTCCAAAAAATTCCTTAATCCGGCATACCCTATTTCTTAGGTTTGCCGGATTAAGGAGGCTTGAATGTATTAATACCTCACAGATGAGCATTAAAAGCTTGCCATGTAAATATTTTTATCTTGCAATTTAGAGTAATCAACGTACATTGATTGCACTGGAAGCTCACAGTTATCTTTACCGGAAATAACACTGAAGCAATATTGCAGCACTTGAGATAAACAACAACATGGTGTCTAGTGTCTTGGATCAGAGCATCTTTCTGACAGCAGTATTGGCAACACTACCACGGGCATTTAATATGCAAAGCCTCACTGAATTAAATATGTAGGTTACCAAATGTCTGATTTAAATAGTAATCTGCATAAGAATATAGTACTAGGTTAGGAAAAACTACATATAATAAGATCTACAGTCATGTGGATATGACTTATGTTACTATGACTACTTGAATATTAGCCTTAAAAAAGTATTTAAATATAAAATCCATTTCAAAATTACATTAAAGATGTGACCAACTGAGGAACAAAATTCAAACCAAACAAAGTTCAGTCAAATAAATTTGAAATCTGAATTTGGATAATATCCCATAGATTTTAAATACTTTAATAAAAAAAAGGAATGCAAACTTCTGTTTGCCAAGAAATGCCAAAATAGCAACGTGTTTTATGTGTAAGTCACATGCTTAAGTTCATCTGTATTCAGCAAAACATGTAAACCCATTTGAGCATTTTGCTGAACCAGGACAGAAAGAATGGTAAACCCTTTATTGTATCAACTTGCATCCAATACTAGGTGATCTACTTAAACAGCAAGGAGGACAATGAGCATTCAATTTTCTTTATATTTATTGTGCATTCTCCAGGGCCTTGAAATCTCACATTGTTTGCATGATCCTAGATGAGACCCCAGAATGTTAGATATATCACACCCACAGCTGAGTAACACTCAAGGAAACATGGATTTGACATATGATGGCAGGTTGCGACTGTGGAGGAGCTGTTTTAGTTGACTGCAGGAGTTTAATTATAATTAAGAAAATGACACTGCAACCCACACAATGTACTAAAAAGGCTTTTATGGCAGCCCCACACAACAGATCAGAGTGATACTGTATGTACTTAGTTTGTACAACAGTCTGCATTCTGTAACATGTTGTCATTCTGTGCACCAAAGTCAACATATCTTAAGTGTCCTTTGCATATGCTTTTAAATATACTGCATATTTTTCAAATTGTCACATTTTTCTTATTTGCAGAATATTTTTAGCAAAGTAGGTTACACAGGGCCAAGAAAAAAGTGGGGGGGCGGGGGGGGGAATCCGTTTTTTGGAGTTAGGTTCTCAACAGTGCCAAATATATTTAGGAACATAAATCCCACTGTAATGTAATGGGACTTGTGCTCCTCAGTCCCATCAGTGCTTTTGATAATTGTTCTCTTTAACCATTTTCACAACTGTACTGACATGAATGATGCCACTGCATTAAGGTAATAAACAAAAACTGTTAATTCCAACTTTGAAGAAAATTTTTTTTAAAAAACATGCAGGAACTATGACTAAATAGGAGGGAGAGCAAGGAAACCTACAGAGGAAAAAACCGCGCAATTTTTGTTTATCAAGTACTGTAGAAGCAGAAACATTTTAATGTCAACAGAAGTAGTGGTACTTACTGTGCCCGGCTCTCTGTCTGCTCCCGTAGTAACCAAGAAATGCACAGACATGCCCGTTCAGACACAGAGGCAAGAACAGAAATAAAAAAAGGGGGGAAAAATTAGAACACAAGCCCCGAACAGTTTTAAAATGGCTTTTATTTATATAAGTCATTGCACATTCCTAATACAGTGATTTCCTGAAAATTACAGTATTTTGTAAACATGATAGATTTACAGTTTAAACATACACAAAGCCTAGGTTTTTTTTTTTTATTTCATGACAGAATAAATTATTTTTTCAAAAATTAGTCAAGTGCAATTTTGCCCAATATTTAAATGTGTACTAGAACTTAAGCCTATGAAACTAAAGTAACAGATACAGTTATCTAACCCTTTCATTTAACACATTCACTTCAAAATTTAATTCTCATTCCCCTCTTCCCTTCTCCCCACCCATTTAACAACATTAGTTTCTTTTAAAAGTTTACCCAATTATGCAGTTTAACAATTATCCACAATATTGTGCAGGCACTGGTGTTACACTAAGAATTCCCCAGGATGTCAAAATGCCCTGCAATCTATAAAGCAGGAGACACCTAATGGATCGCCTATTTCAAATACTGAAAACTTCCGAGCTTAGTTTTGCTTCAGTGGTAGAAATGCAGACACTTAAAAAAAAAATTACAACAGTTTGTTCTCGTTTTCATTCTATATAATTCGATTTCTTTAGAGATGCACACAATTTGCAGCAATGTGCGAATTTGACAATGTCCTAATCAGGCTTGCCATGCCTCTCACCTCTGTGGTGTTCTGCATCATGATGCTTCTTGTCATCTTTTATTGCCAAGTGAGACTGCCCACCCAAAGCACTAGAGAGGGCAAGAAGGCCAGCACTGCTTCCAAGTGGAGGAATTCCAGGAGGTTGAAGTCCTGATGGGTGTGGTGTAAGAGGCACTGGAGGTCCATGGCCATGGGACAGATGCTGAGCTTGCAACTGTTGCTGCTGTTATGGATGGTATTGTTATTCCCAGGAGGAAGTATATGAAGCACATAGTTGAGGAAGAAAAGAGAAGAAAAGTGTTTGTTAGCCATTCATAATCAATACTTCCTGTTTTTACCCTATCTTCCTCTCTTCTCCAACCCAACATCCTTTATATCACCTATTCCTGATCTGAATAAACCTAACAAATGCAGTTAAAATACATTTGCCCTATCTACAGCAGCACTCTCACCATCTCTGAAAGGGTGGGCCAATTTTTAAGAAAAAAAGTCTACCAAAAAGACAACCTACAAGGTTGCATTCTCTCTTGCTTAAACTGTACAACTGCACTTTTACAGAACCTTTGTTTCTTACCCATTTCAGTGTCTACCATCTAAGAACTCTAGCTAATATAAATCAGCTCAAGTATTAGAATAAAGATATTCAAATACAGCACTCCCTCAAGCATTATGGCACTTATGGATCAGGACACCTCTCTCAATTTCATGTGCAGAAGAGCTGGCACCACTGTCCACATTTAAAGTTGCCTAACACTTCCTATGATAAGACTTTGTTAGGTTACTTATAAGCAGGGCTCAACAATCTATGTAATCTACTCGCCCGTGGCAAGTAAATTACATCCCGGAAGAGCTGGGTTCAGGCAATCTGCACATGGGCAGAACGCCAGATAGCGCAGCCGGCGAGCGGGGCTCGCCGCGGCTTGGCGAGCCCTGCTTATAAGTGAACCAAAATTTTAACCTTTCAGAATAAAATTTCCCAGGCTGGAGGAATGCCTCAAGCTGAAATTTACCGGGCGAATTTCTGAAAAAACAGTTCTGCCATTTTTAAGAATAAGATGAGGGGAAATAAGAGGTTTTGCCCAGATTAAAAAATTCCTTCAGTTAGTTCATCGATCTCTCCTATTCCAAAGTAGTGATTTTAAATATGGCAGGGGCTTTCCTTCATGTCAAAGATGTGCCTTTTGCTACCCCCATGCAAATCTCTCAAAATTTCTACATGTACAGTTGTTGGAATTTGGCGGCTAGTTTATACAAAGATTTCACTTGCAAAGGGCATGCTCTATTCCACGTATGCGGAAGTGGAGCAGGAGATAAGTAGGGATTTTCCTGCAACTGCTGCTCCTAGCTATGGCCCAGGGCTCAGAAACTAAGAGCTAGGAGACTTGTCTTTCCTGTGCTGTCAGTTCTTTCTGCACTAGCACCAATGCAGTGTGGAAAGATGGTAGCTTCATCTGAGTGCAAAGAAAACAGGTATCGGACTGTGGGGCAGGGTTGCATCATAGAGGGTACAGACTGGGACAAGGAGCCATTAGGTGAGGGAGAGAAACAGGAAACGGATGGAATATAACTGACTAGCCAAGGAAAGTAGATCTGGCATCAAAGGCCCAATGTGTGGAGACTCGTACTGGTTAGCAGACTAGGCCAAGAATCTATGGGGCAGAGAAGGTGGAGGAGAAAATGGCAAGGAGTATGGAGACAGTACTGAAACTGAGAAAGGCTGGAGGAGCAGAAGGGAGTCGGGGTTGGCAGTAAGCGTGACAGAAGTATCTGAGACCTCTACAGACACACCCCTCCAGAGCCTGGAGTGGAACCTAAGATTCCTGTGTCTTAATGTTCCTCTGTAGTCTTCAAACATCTATGAAATCTCATTGATCAAGTGTGCTTCATTCCCCCCCAGTGCTGGGCCTCAGATTAGGTGACAGCCCACTTGTGCTATGAGTTATGCCACAAGCTCAAGTGGCAGAGGACTATGTTGTAGATCTAAATGTTTCAACAGTCTCACTATGCTGCCACATGATGGAACTGGGCTTTTTTAAAAGTCTAAGAAATTATACACACAACTACAACAAGAGAACAACAAGTTTGCAAAGTCAAGCACTCAAAAGTTAGAAAAGCCAAAATTAAGGATCCTTGTGCAACTTTAATTGCATGAATGCATTGTGATACAGTATTTAATTATAGGATTACATACTCTGTCCCCCCTCTACAGGACCCATGTTTCATTCACTACATAGGATGGACCTGCTCTAGCAGCAAAACAGGGCTGAGTAGTGAAGGAGCCTGTTACTTGTAGGACCTACACCTCAGTTGGTGCACATGTTGTAATGAAACAGAAGAATGCAGGAAAACAAAGGGCAGCCTCCTGGTTCAGGCAGATGAACATCTTGCTGGAGAACTGAATTCTATCCCTGCTCTTGCCACAGAGATCTGAGGTGATATTAGTTAGTTCATTTAAAGCAAACAGGTGTTCACTAACTGTGCTCCTCATTATTTGAATGTGTAACTTGAGACCACAGAGTTTTATTTGCAATAATGCAGAACACTCGCAACTGATGTTAATGGGAACTATACTTTGAACAAAGTGCCATATCATGCTGAATATGCATCCCAAAATGAGCACTCATAATTAGTAGACACTTTTGACCTTAATGTCTCTACTGCTCAGTTCCCCATCTAAAACAGCCTCGTCAGGATGTTGTGAAAAATAAGATGCTTAATGTTAGTGATGCAGTTGAAAACCCAACATGGAACATCATAGAAAAGCCCAAGAGTAAATTTAGTAAGTCTGTGTTCAGAGCAGGGTTGGAATAACATGCACTAAATAGGGCATGATCAATTACAACAAAACAAAATACTGAATAGCTGCTCATTAAGTGATCAATTATTTCTGTGGACTTCCTGCGGAAAAAACAGCATGTGATTATGTAATTAAAGATTGCATCATAATGCACATGCACAAGGAGACCAAACTAATGTTGCGTAAGTTACTGAGTGTGCTGGACTTTGCAAACTTAATACACTTATTTTTATTTTTTGTGTTCACATGTAAAGCAGTTACATTTCTCAGATCTTTGCAATATTATATGCAAGGTTAGTATAAGAAAAGTTTACACCTGTTCATATTATTTGGCCCAATTATTATTTCAAAAAGAACTGCTTTGCAAATATTGTGGGAAGGGAAAAGTTATGCCTTACTACATCTCCACACAATCCACACCAATGGCAGAGGATACGCACATCAGCCCCTCAATCTCTGAGCTTCTACACATGAAGTGTGTGGGGGGGGGGGAGGAGAGGAGGAAGGTTGCAATAAAAGCGTGGTTTAAAAAAAGCTGTTTGTTTCTTCCTCTGTAATATATCCTGGGGTTGGAGTATCACGTGACAGGGAAGGAAAGCAGAGCCAAGGATTATCTCAACAGCTCTTGAGTGATCAGAGCTATCACTGAGAAGAATGTTGTGGAACTATACCAGGAACTATACTGAAACAGTGAGGCTTCCAGACCACAAACTGTTCTCCAAGAGTTAGTTCAAACAGAATGACGACATTAGCATTGGACTCTGTTATTGGAGCTGATGGAGCTGTAGCAATGTTTGGAATGCCTGTGGAATGTTATGAACATTCTTGGGTCTCTTGTTGTAGATACCTGCATTCTTTAGCATAGACCACCTAAAGTGCTTGGGTCAAAACCTAACTTCTACAAATATACCCAGCACCCTCTTTGGTCAGCTATTTCAGTATCTGTAAAGGTTTGGTGAAGGCACTTCAGAACATCACAATATTAACCAAATTGAATTTGTTTTCTATCAGTCATCTATTCTTGCCTCTGTTCACAATGGCACAAGGCATGCAATTTTTTGGGAAATCAAGGAAAGTGTGGTCTAAGAAGGAATACGTTAATCACTCATTTCACATGCTGTATTCTGAAGTGCTTTCACCAAACCGTCAAAGCAGCAACAGCAGGGGGAAATTCCTACAGTACAGACAGGGGAAGAATACTCCATGATCCTTTACAGAACTACTCTTCTTGGTCAGTGTTGTGTCAGCAACTAGGAGAGGGACAATCTTTGGCCTATTTGTAAGGACTCCTGGTAATATAACTGTATCTGCAGAATGAATAGTAATTGATAATTGCTATAAAATAAGAGACTCAATCTGGTCTCTTGCATCACTGGAGCTGTTGCACTTGTGTGGGGATAATTTGAATTGAGCAACAATTTTAAACTTTATTTACATCCCAGCCTGACATAGAACTGTTAGTGTTATATGAATCACAGCTGAAGACACTCGCAGCCCCAAAGTGCTCATACTCTACATCATTTAAAAAAAACAAACATCTCAGTTACTAAAGTATCTTAGTCCTCTTGCACAGAGAGGCTAGGTTGTCTGTAAATGGGGAAAAATGAAAAGAGGGAGCAGGAAAATGGATAATAGCAACAGTCGGGAGACATTTACAAAGTAGGTATTCACCACTTTATAGGATAGTAACAATTGTATTATGCGTATAATCACCTGTCACTTCAAATACACTAAAGCCTGTTCTCTCTCTTTTTAAGAGCTTACAATAGTAAGCCATAAAACTGAAGAAGTCGGTAGCAGTATCATGGTCCACTAGGTATGCTCATTAGCACTTAATTAAAATCTAGACACCTGCCATAAGAAATGTGCTCAGATAAGGATGAGTAACAGGTCTGTCTTACCACCAATTACTATCATTACTTGCAGAGCAAGAGCT